AAATTATATACTTATTTTGTTTCATAGATAATAAAAAAATGTTTATATAAGTTACACACAAATTAAAATTATATACTTATTTTGTTTCATAGATAATAAAACTATGTTAAATAATTTTAATAAAAAAATAATAATTTAGTTATTAGTTATAATTATTTTTAAATATTACTTAATTAAGAAATGTGAAGTTGACCAATTTTATTTATGTTCATATTACATATTATGGTTTATTTAAAATCATAAATTAATACTAGAAGGGTATTTGCGCAATATAGCGAGATACATCTTAATTTTAATATTTCATTTTATTCTTTATCTCAGTTGATGTTATAATATGGTCTTACGTGATTTTGAAAAAACGATAATGTTTTTATTTTTGAATAAAATATAAGTTTGAAGATATCATAAAAATTTAACAAAAAAATATATCGATATTAGTATCAAATTAACTATTTAAAATTTCTCATTTTTTTGAGAAATTTTGTAATTCAAATTTTTTCATTATAATTTAATTTAGATACAATAACGAAGTAATTTATATTTGGTTTAATAATATAATTTTCTTATAAAGATAATAATTATTTATTTTGTTAAAACTCGATAATTATCTTAATTATATTTTAAATTTTTTATATTTTAAAATAAGATGTTTATCCTCTATTTGATTATGTTTATCAACAGTTAGTTATACGAATTCAAACATCGAGCTTTAAACTGGAATAGAATTCTCTAGAAATGATGATCGGAGTTATGCCTAATACATAACCTTACATATTGTTCAAATAATCGATTCTATTTAGGAAACTATTTTATTCTCCAAGTCAAATAATTTGACTTTCTTTAGTTCAAATAAATCACTAATTTATACATTTTTTATTCACCTTTAAAATATATTCACTCAGATAGCAACTCTGAAAGGTACAAGCCCTACATAAAATTCATAATGCATGACGAGTGTAATTTAGATGGTTCGTGTCGACTAACAAATATTGTCCACTTATATTCGATAATATATATTTATATTAATTATTTGTATATAAATAATTTATTCAACCCATTCTCGGACAACCTAACTAATTTAATATCCAATATTCATATATTATTTACAATATTCAACTTTATATAAATAAATATTTGGCACTCCACTTTTCAATATGGATCGGCTTATTTTATAATTCTCTGATGTTCAAAAGTCGTTAAAAGGTGGTATTGTTTGACGTTTGACAACATTTTAGCTCTAATTATTTTTTAAGAGTGAATTACAATTTATATGTCCTTTAGTTTGATGCTTTTAACATATTATGTTATATAAAATTAAAGTTTGATGAAATGTATCCTTATGGTTGTGTTTTTGCAACGATTTAGGTCTTTATTATTAACTTTCGTTAAGAAAAAGTCCATTATGCATAAACATTTGCACAATACACAAGACCATCTTCGTGAAGCCCCCCCCAAGTTCGATGAATCCCTTGTGAGCAACTTCCTTCCACTTCGAGCACCAACTTTGCCTTCCCCATGTGTCGTCTATACTATAATCACGATCAATTCAACCATTGCCTAACACACATTTGTCGTTGATCACACCATGTGGCCTGAATGGACATAAGCAATTGTTGATTACAGCCCATTTTCAGTTTCCATGGAGAAGATCTCCACGTTTGCCGATCTGATATGAGTTTCCATGGACATAAGCACCTCAAACCCTTTAGGCTTCATTGTGTAAATAGAAGCATCATCGATCTCGACTTGACACAATTACTTCTTGATGACCAACTATGTGAGCCACCACTTTTGATGCCAACCCCCTGTTCTCTTACCATCGTGACGGATTCAGATTTTCATTTAAATTTGGTTATTACTTCAACTCTTCAACTTTGTTTTTCAAATTTTGATTTATAGGTTTACATTCATTCAACATGTTTCTTGATTTGGCTTTTTTAATATTAATGTATCACAATTTTATGAATGAATTGACAAATATATATTATTATATTTTATTGACGATGGATTTTGAACATGAAAAAATCGGTGGACGTATACAAGGAGATATATCTTAAAATGACCTGGAGATAATAGTATGTATTTAGAGGTGGTTTCATTTATAAACCTAACCAATAGTATAAACCAATCTCAACCATTCATCTAGAACAATGAATATCTCGATTGTTTCATAATATAACGTGTTGATTATAAAAATAAATGTACTATGATAATCTTTCATAGATATCTAAATCATAATAAATAAACCCTCATCGTTTCTATAAATATTATAATAAATTGATTTGTATGATTGTACTAATTATTGAGTCTGTAAAAAATTGCTAATTTATATGTGGGGTGTATATATATATATATATTATAAAAGAAGATTAAATTAAAGGATAAAAAGACAAAATAAATTATATAACGGATTTTTAACGGAGTTAACCCGAGGAACAAAACTGACACAAATCGCAAACCATAAGGGCGAAAAAGGTAATTTCGAACTACAAAAACGAAAGTTTTTATTTGATGGTTAACGAGAATTTTCCGTTAGTGGGTCTCGAGTCTTCCTCGTGGTTCCAAATGCTTTTACCATCATCCCTGACTTCCCTGTAACAGTGAGCTGTCTCCTCTCTCTCTCACACACACACCCCAAAAAGATCACACACACAAGGGACCACCTGAACCCTAACACAAAACTTTGTCTTCCCGCTTCGAATCACATCCTTCCTTTTTGTATCTTCATTTACTCATGAAATGGGAGATGGAGATGGAGATGGAAGAGGTGGAAGCTGTTCTCGAGAAGATTTGGGACCTACACGACAAGCTTAGCGATGCTATTCACTCAATTTCCAGATCTCATTTCCTTCATTCCGTCAAAGCCATACGCAATTCCAACGATCTATTTGACCGGACGGCCGGCAACAACAAGAAAGCCTCAGATGATGACGTCAAAGGAGGTTTCGTTTACGTTAAAGACTGTCCGCTTGGAGAAGATGACGACTCGGCTATTCACGAGGCGAAGAGTTTGAATTCTATCCGTACTGCTCTCGAGAACCTCGAGGACCAGCTCGAGTTCTTTCATGTGAGTTTCTGTTTAATTATTGCTTCCAATTGTGTCGTTTTTTTATGGAAATGTGTTGTAGCGGACGCTAATTTATTTGTTGCTTGAAATTTTGCTCACAAGAGCAGGGAACGTTGTTAGAGTGTGACCTAATTGGCTAATTCGTATTGTCGTTGGGCTTCGTTATATGTTTAACTTCGAAAGACCTTCGTTATGAAATGATGAAACTGAAAATTAAGCATGGAAGAATTCTATATTCTATGTCATGATTCAAGCTATATTTCTTTTCTAGATTATCGCCCCCTGGACTTGTTTTCAGTGTTTTTAGGCTTTTTAAGTAATATTTGCTAGAACTGACTAGTCAATTAACCTATTACTCGCTTGTTTCTGTTATCGTTTTCAGTCTCTGTCGTGCTTATGTTCATGAATAGTTGAAGTCTATACGTCTTTTTGTGCTTGCATGAAAATAATGCTGGCAATCATGAAACATATGGTAACTAATTTGTTTGTGGAATTAAGTCTCAGCTTACTTCCATGGGGAAAGAAGGAAGAAGCCAAGAAGGAGCTCCAAATTCCCATAAGTGATCTCATTTCTAAATCAAAAGTTAGCTAGTGAAACACTAGCTTGAGCAATAGATGGGATAAGGAAGCTGTGTAAGAAGTTATTAGGTTAGCATTAAGCAAATACCCTGTATTGAATCCTCTGTTTATGTGCCACTTACCATTGACAAGTAATAGGGAACACACTTGAGTAATGGATGGGATCATTAAGCTCAATATTGTTTTCTAACAGCGTCATGTCATTGTTAGAATCTAAGTTAATCAAACAGAAAATATGTACAATAATTTATGAAATATATATATATATATATACACACACACACACATTACACTAATATAAGTATATACAACATGTACAACAAGATTAATCAACTAACTTGGTATGATTGCAGTGTCAAATCAAATGCAAATCTGGAATAGGTAGAGGCCTGCTAATGCAGTGTCCTAAGACGGAATTCTACCCCTATAATGTTGTTTCTGGATGTCTATTTTGAGGATACAATTATCTAATTTAAGTTGTAAAAACTTAAATTTGACGTGTTCACACCATCCAGATGAACGGTATGCACATGTGCATAAAACCAAAAAACAGCTCCAATTACTTGTATGCACATGGACATACCTTCCAGATGAAATGGTTACCAGGGTGTTTCTCAGTTTTTCCTTTTTTTAGGGTTTTCCCCTGAACCTCCCTCTCTCTCTATATATATATCCAACCCAATCCCAACTGCATCCAAGTCACCAAGCCCAAGGCTAGGCCATGATCCGTCTTGTAAACCCAAGTAGGAAAAGGTATATAAAGTAAACTATATTGCCATGTTTCTTACATGTAAAATATTGATATCCCATAAGTACCAACAGCCATCGTATAGTTTCTGAGTTTCATGCCAAAGAAATCATTAGGTTAATATTGCCTTATGCTTCTTATCTTGCACATAAGCTAATTTTGATGTGCCAACTCTTGTGCAATACTTAAATTTGAATTGTGCCTTAGGCTTTTAAGAATACCTAACAATAAGGATATGGATTCATAAAATGCTCATCAATTTCGGAACAAACATGAGAAGTTATTTCTAGAGCATATGCCGTCATTTATTAGCTGGCTGTCAATTACATCATGTTGCTTTTACTAAGTTTGGTTTCTTGTACGTGGTTATGTTTTGTATGTTGTTGCTTATTCATACGTAGCTTTCCTTTTCTCGTCTCTAGTTCTCCCTTTCCATAGTCTTTCTCTTCTTCTTTTTATATTTCCTCATACTTTTTGGGCTACTCTTTTTCTCTCTTTCACATATTTTCACATGTCGGGAATCTTCATGGAAACAACCGCCCTATTTTTTGGGTGTAAAAGCCAGGCCTATGTACATCACCCCCCCCCCCCCCCCCCCTTAAAAAAAACCCACCTTCGGGTGGGATATACTAGGTTTGTTTGATTCAGTACGGTAGTAGAACTTCATAGTTTATGATGAGAATTGGGGATAGATTGTGAAAGATTAGGGAAGGCACGGAAGCAAAGCCAGCTTATATGAATTAAAGTGAGCTTGTGGCTATGTTTGCAACATAAAGAATTTGGTTGCGCTTTGTTCATGCCATATAGTCTTGAGGATATGTTCACGAGTCTAGGAGTCATTGATTTCCGACTTAATGAAAGGTTTGTTTCCTTAGGATCTAGCGGTGATTCTGTGCATGTAAATTTCCTAATATCTTTCAGGTGCTCTTCCTCTACCATTGATCATTTGCAATGTGTAAGATCACTTGTTACTATTTTGTAGTGTAGGGCTATAAGAGTAATAATATTGCCTATAAATCTATTTAGATGGTATACAAGATGGGCCATGGGCCAATGATGATAACATAAGAAAAACCATTGATAAACCAAATGAAAGGCCATCTACGAACACACTTTCACAAGTTGGAGCATAGATACCAAGTATACCAGCTTCTCACATATGAGGTCAACTTGGATCTTGTGTTATCAAGTGAGGTCAGAGATGGATCGAGAAAAATTTCCGAGCGAGGGTCAAAATAATTAGCATAACATAAGTTAAAGCAAAAACTAATTATAAATTCATAAAAAATGACATACATGTGGTTTTTTGCAACACCCAAGTATTTTTTTTCTTTTCTGTTGCTGTTACCAAAAAATTTAACAAAAGATCCAAAGGGATTCGAACTTGCAATTTGCAACGTATAATGCCACATTCAATGACACTACCAGTAGGCTGCAACCACTTTTTATTAACTTAGGGGAGCACACGTCAAGTTAAAGTGGATGCACCTTTAAGACTCCTTACAAAGTTTCCGCTATGTTTACACGATAGAGCGGCAGCACGGGAACCCCCCTCCCCAAATCCGCCCCTATGGAAGGTGCTAGCTAGTATTCAATCCTCATATGATGAATGGACTTGTAGATGGGGGTTCAGATAATCAAAATTTCATTTGTACCTAGAATAGAAGATGTCATATAACAAGGAAGCATCTCACACAGAAGATGAGAGGAGGTGGACAACAATAAATTTACTCACACAGTGAGTCATCAGTAAAAGACTTGAGATACGCACCCTACAAAAGCTAGGACACGAAGCTAGTCCTGGAGTTCTTGTTCGATGGTTGGATTAATGCTAATAGGAAAGAGACCCTGCAATCCATTGTATAACATCTTTAATTGGGTAAACTCTGTTATGCTATCATTATTCTCCATCTGTTATAACTTCATAAATAAATGAACCCAATTAGATTCATTTAATGTAGTTGGTATCTGCAAGAGAAGAAGAGGGTTACCAATGCTGATCAGAGCAATAGCATGTCAGATAATCAGCTGTTCTTGTTAGGTCCAGTTTCTAGTTCGCCAGTTGGTTTTTTGGGTTCATAGTTGCCCAACTTGGCTCTTCAGGGTTTCTGTTTGGTCAAAAATTTCAGGTTTCTTTCTTGTATCTGTTGCTTCTGGTTCTTTATCAGTTTTGTGTATTTATTTTGATGATATAAAAGAAGAGCAGTAGCAGAGCTGACAATCAGCAGGTAAGAACAACAACATCCAGAGCAACATATCACGAGTGCCGGTGAGCGACATGTACACCATGTCAGAAACAACAGATGACGGGCTAATGGAAGATGGTTACAACTTACACAAGGTAACATGAGCAGGTTTGTCACGAAGCCCTAAGACCATCAATGGAGCAGGTAGACAGCTGGCGAGCGAAGTGTAGTGAAAATCAGGCTGCATGGGTACTTAGGTAGCCACAGTGGTCAGAGACTGGGCAGGCCTGATGGGTGTCACAAGAGTCCTGCAGTGGAGTGACAGGCTGGATATTCACATATGTCACAACGAACAGACATGCGGTGGTGGCAGGGTCACAATAGAGGCTGGTTAAGTGGGTATAGCAACTACATATACTGCCGGAATCAGTGAAAGTCCATCTACCAATTACTAACATATTTAACATGAAGCAAAATATATCCTTATGCCTAACATTATGATGCGGACCTAAGCATGGAGTACCGGGCCTTGATGTTCCTGGAAACCCATGCAGAGAAGTCGTGCTTAAACGTGCATAACTTTTGCTATGAGTCTCTGGTTTTTTGTCAATTTTCTCATTCTTGTTTGGAATTTTTATATTTGGCCCATCACCTTTCCGCTGTTATACTTTGAACGTCTACTTGTATGCTGCATGAAGCATTTGGATGGACAGCGGATGAATGACATATGTTTCTCATCCAAATTCCAGAGTTCTCTTGATTTGAAGCCCAAAACTTGGTATTCTTTGAATCAATGAGTTTTGTAAGAGTTTATTCCTGGGTATTCGTATAGTCTAATCAACAGGATTGATCTTTAGGTTCGATTGTCCTACACTGCATCACATTAGGACATCATGGCAAGCGGATACCATGAATGTGAGAAGCCAGCATTCAGTAAATTTGTATTGATAAAGTCTCTGATTAAGCAAAAAAGTGTCCAGCTCTCTGTTATGAACTTGCTCTTTCTTTTGAATGAGTGCTTGTGACCATTCATACTACATGGCTATATCTCTGAATTTTGAATCCATCTCATTTTAGAATTCAGAGTCAATGGTATTTCATGCATACCTTAGTATTGCACACTATTAACTACTTGTGGATGCCCATAGTATCATCTGATTCATAAATCATATGCCGATAAAACTGTGGCATAATTTTTCGTTCCTTTCTTGTTTAAATGCAGACTGTGCAAACACAGCAACGGGTGGAGAGAGATGCTGCAATTGCTCGATTGGAGCAAAGCCGAATCGTGCTTGCATTGAGATTGGCTGACCACCATGGTAAGAAGTACAAAGTGATTGAAGAAGCAAGAGCCTTTGTTGGTGAGGTACAGAATCACAGTAAATTTGTCTCCGTCGAGAATAGTTACGAATTCCCTTCTGGCAGCAACCATGATGTAGGAAAGAGATCAAACATTCTAGCAAAGGTCATTATCTCTAGCTTTAATTTTGCCAAAAAGTCCCTCAAAGTTGAACATGTGGGCGGTGTGCTTGGCAATGCTGCTTTATTTGCAGTAAGCATGCTGGCATTGTTGCATCTTCATCAGGTTGGCGATAGGGAGCGTTACATCTCAGATCTCCAACAGAGACACAAAGATGATAATAATAATCTTAACAAGAATGTGACAAAAGTTTATCTACCAAATGGCAGTCCTTCTAATGGTCTAGACGTCTTATCAGCCAGGGGCTAACAAGTACAGACTAGTAGCAGCTGCATTTGGTCATATTTCAAGCTTGATTGTAAGCGGGTTTGTTCAAGTTTCCGAGTGTTTCATTTTTCTTTGCTAAATAGCAATGCGTCTATCGGGCGTTGTTTTAGAAAGCTAGGGTTTTATTTCCTAAAATTGTATATTCTTAGCTGCTTTCCTTTAGGGTTGTGTAACGATGATCGACCATTTTGAAACTTGTTTTTCGAGGCGTCATTAAGATTTGGTGATTTTTCCGTCTGAAACACACTGTTACAGTACTTGAGTATGAACTTGTTCTATTGGAGGCGTGATCAATTAGTAGCAAGTAGGAACATAGACAACAACCAACCGAAAAATTGGAAAACAAGTCCAATTCGGCTTTGAATGATAGTAGCTTGATTCTTCCTTCAGCCAGTCTGAATGGTCATCTGGTGTTGACTCTTGTCTGAACCAAAATCGTGTTTAAAGTGTATTAGAAGTCCGACCTTTACCATCACCATCAGACCAAATCTTGGACCTTTGACTTTGCTAACCCTCGGAGATTTATTTGGATTCAGATGCATGTGGCAAAAAGCATGTTGAGGGAAGTAGGCCCAGAAAAAGAATGTTGACAAAGATTCATTGGAGATTTCTTTGGTGTGTAGCAGTAAAGTAATCTCACACTTTTGATTCAGTTGTCGTGTTTCTCTCTCTTTAAACTGTAGCAAATGACCAAATAGCATGCAAATTTGGGTCAAACGTAGGCAGCCGGAGTAATGAAATGTCAACCTGTAAAGGAAACGCCATTTTCGCAGTTGAGGAAGCCTGCTTTTCACGTTGTATGGGAGGACTTTAGGGTTTTTGAACAAATCAGTATAAATTGCTATTTTTTGAGTTAAATCGTGCAGTGAAAATATAAAAAAAGAGCTTGTTGTTGATGTGTATAAATGTAAAATTGATAAGGATTTTATTTGAGAAATTGACTGAAATAGCCAATAAGAACCTCCATGTTCACTTTTTTTTGTTAACCATTGGTGTTCAGGTCAACTTACATGCACCTCGATTAATCCCAAGGGTCCTTAAGAACAGTAAAAAAAAAATCCTCTCTTTTATAGCCGCATCTTGGATCAATGGACAAATTTAGCCGGAAATTACGCAAATGACCTTACGCAACTTGCGTAATCTAACTTTCGGGTTAAGAAATGAGGAAAAATGGACATTATGCAAGTTACGCAAGTGAATATGGGGTCCATGTAGGCATTATGCAAGTGCCAAATAACACTTACGCAAATTGCGTAAGTCCCGCTTTGCATCGTTATTTTAATCCGAAAAATAGGTTACGCAAATTATCGTGTAATTTCCGACAAAATAAGTTGAAAAGCGGATATAATGAAATGAATTTCCCGTTTTAAAGAAGTTGGTTAAGATGGTACATTTGGAAACAGTTGATGTTATGGTTCAAGTCAAACATGAAAACGATGGAAGGAAGCCATAGTACAAGGGAAGGGAGTCTCAGTCTCTTTTTACTTTAACATGTGATTGATGTATACTTTGCAACATTTAATCATCACATTTTTGTTCAAAAGCAAAAGTGAAAATATAACATCAACTCTTCATCACTAATTACTCCCATTAACCCATTTATATGTCATTACTTTCGCAAGTGGCACCTTCGCATTTTCTGCTCAGCTTCATCAGTCACGGAGGTGCCATTTGGCAGAGCTGAGCAGAATTTATAATTTTTTTTTGTCTTTTAGCTACCTCCGCAAATTAAGGAGGTGTCACTTGCGGAGGTAGTGACATTTAGGTAAAAGGGGGAGATGAATAACTGGTGAACCAATTACATTGAAAGAAATGGTCATTTTCGGTATACAAGATCTTTTTTGAAAAATAGTTTTACAGTTCCACTTATTCTCCCGGTTGACATATCTCGTCATGGACCACGATAAGTACTCATAACATATATTATTTAGGTAATATATACATAAAGGTGAGATCTTTTACGAACCTTATCATTAGTACAAACTATACCATTAGGTGTTATTACCTAGCACAACTATTTTATGTAGCGGAAAATTAAATATTTTGGTACATAACTCAAATAAGGTTTGGTGATTTTTTTAATAATTATATATAATTATCTTAAAGACATTAATATTATTACACATATTTACATATAATACAGTGTACTCATCATAATTACATTTTAACATGTATTTTTATAATTGTCACCAAAGAATCATTATTTTCATAATCAACTAGATTTAGTTCGGGTTTCTACAAGTGGAAGAAAACATACTATTTATATGCGACCTGATATGTTTACAATGCTTATCCTAATTATATTTTTGATTTTTTATATTTAAAATGAGACATTTATATTCTGTTTAATTATGTTTATCTGCAATTAGTTACACGAATTCAGACATGAAGCTTTAGTAAGTTATATTTACGCACCATTTACTTGCAATCTTGAGTTTTAAGTAATATGCATTAATAAACAGTACTTTACGAATAAAAAGTGATTTTTAAGAGTTTTTGTCAAATGCTTTATAATATAGTACAGATATAGATAAAAAGAAATGTCATGATTTTATATTTTTATGAAGGGAAAATTGCATCAAAATGGAACCAACTTTCACAAAATTCCTATTTTGGAGAACCAACTTTCAAAATCGTCATTTTGGGGAACCAACTTGCACCTGATTCCTATTTTGGGGAACCAACTTTCAAAATCGTCATTTTGGGGAACCAACTTGCACCTGATTCCTATTTTGGGGAACCAACTTGCAAAATAATTATAGAAAAATATTAAAATTCGTTTTTTTTTCCAAAAATCAATGCAATAAAATCTATTTTTCATTTCAAATCTCGTTTTTTTTATAATTCAGATATGAAATTGAACATTAAAAAAAAATCCATATTACCACAATAAAAATTATTTTTTACTAATGTAAAAAAAATCAACTTAATAAAAAAAATTAATTGATGCAATAAAAAATAAATATTTAGGGGTCTCTATCAAACTTTTTGTGCATCAATTAATTTTTTTCTATTAAATTGATTTTTTTGCATTAGTAAAAAACAATTTTTATTGTGGTAATTTGGATTTTTTTTTTAAATGTTCAATTTGATATCTGAATTAAAAAAAAACGAGATTTGAAATGAAAATTAGATTTTATTGCATTAATTTTTGGAAAAAAAACAAATTTTAGTTGTTTTTCTATAATTATTTTGTAAATTGGTTCCCCCAAAATAAGAATTAAGTGAAAGTTGGTTATATTTTAATGTAATTTTTTGTTATAAATATCTTAATTAATTAATTAATAGTTTTTGTCGGCAGTAGAAGTGGTCCATGAATTTAATCTATGAAACTAAAACCCACGTGACATCAACGCCTACCTCTTCTTCTCTTCTCTTCTCTCCAACCTCCAAACATAATTATTTACCAACACCCTTTTCTTTTCTCTTTTTATTTCTGCTTTCCAATTAATGCTTTTTATTTTTTATATCCAAATATTTATAAACCGTTACCAAGTGAGCATCACAAGAATCGAAAATCCTTTCCCGTCTGAAGCAAGACTATCACTAATATCCATTACTGTCTGGTTAACACTTAGCATCAATAAACAATCCTTTTTAATCAGATGTTGAATCGATCATCAGAACAAGAATTAGACCAAAATATATTAACATTTCATCAGGGTAATGATCCATCAACCTACTGATTCTTTCTATCTTATTTTTTTTTACTTATTTCAGAGATTACGACATTATGTTAAAAATATATTAATAAACAAATAATAAAATGATTCCGACAATCTTTCGTATTGTTTTTGTATGATTAGGAAAGTGTGTTTAATTTTGTGGATCTGGTTGTTTGAATATGAATAGCAACTTTGAAATCTCTTCATTATTTCTGAACCCGCCATCACTACTTACCCATTTAATTCATACTTACCACCACAATATAACATTACCACTACAACAAAACGTCTGTATAATGGGACTTAAATTTCTACAATAAAATCTCGTTTGTACAACGTCAAAAATGCATAAATATATTACTAATTAATATATTGTTTTATGAAACTTAAGTTTATAGAATCAAACATTTATTCATCTTATATAAAAATGTTATAATAAGTTCATATGATGATTTTGAACATGTTTTAGAACAATTTTAAAATAAATCATTTTATTAAAAAAATATTATATGACTTTACTTGAATGGAAACAAAAACGTCTTATAAAAATAAGTGTTCACTATTAAGAGAAATGATCGATTAAAGTTAATCGATCGAGAAACGTCGTTGTTGAGGGACCGAAGAACAATAAGCGGCAAATAAGAGGTTGGTTTACCTCTTACCAGATATATAAGAGTACAATAAAACATAAGTGCCTCTAAAAAATTTAAAAAAATTAAAAAACAGTCTGAATGACCTTATCTCTTAACGAATCAAATATAAGAGACCCATAAGAGATTTTTTGTAAAATACAAACAAGGTTTTTTTATTTCAAACATAAAATAATAATAAAAATAACTTGTTAAGACATTCAAAAGTTTCGTATAATTTACTGTGACATTTTTATATAAATACACAATTATTTGCTATTACAGATTTAAATATTATAAAGCAGTCACTTAAAACAGTTAGATATTTTTAACGTTTTACCGTTGAAAGTATTTAATAATAGAAAAATAGTTATAAATTAAGAATATATATANTATATATAAAAGGAACCACGTAAAAGGGAAAATGAGACTACATTTTTTATTCAAATAAAACCAAATTCGTTTACCATGTTTTTTATTTTACTTAAAAATATTAATTTGATGTAATTAAATTTTTTTGAAATATGAATTGAAGCAAAGCCATGCATAGACCACGAATATTATTTAATTTTTGGCTTTATAATTTGACCTTTTTTTTATTATTTACGTCATGGCATTAAAAATCTCCATAAATTATTAAAATACAACATATGTTACATGCATACCAAATATCAAAAATATAATAAAACAATGTTTAAATGAAAACCGATTTTCAGTTGTGAAACGGAGACAAAGGAGAGCGCGACACGTGTCTCACAACTTCACGGATTATTCATATATAATGAATCAATTTAATATGGATCATGATCGTGTATTATTTATAATGAATGTTGTATCATTTATCATGAATAGTTCATGTACGTTCATTTTCATTATTCATATTTAATTCTTAGTCCCATACGTTTTACATCTGATGATCGATTTGCAATTGAGTTTCTTCTCTCTCTCTCTCTCTCTCTCTCTATGTGTATATATCATAGCATTCACAAGTCACGTGACTTTAGGTCCCAATAACATCATCACCACGATTCACATACTACATGCGGACTGTGTTTGTATAAATTATCATTAATCATTAAACCATCATTTTTGACACATCTCATTCTTTCCAACAACAATTTTGTATTTTCTTATTATACATTAAATCATAATTTTATGAAAACAGGTTTTAAAATTTGTTTTAATGCATTAAAAAAAGCAAAATTTTACATGAAAACTATTATAGATGTAGGCTATAAATGAATGAAACAAAAATTATTTTAATTATTGGTTTTTTTGTCTGCTATTATTATTTCATAATTTTGTATCTTGTAAATTGATAAAACACTAATGATACATGCGATAGAATGAGAAAATGACCTATTGTTTTTAAAACGTGTTGGTCCCGTGGACCATGTACAGGTAGGATCGATGAGACAACTAAGCACCAAAGTTGACGGTGTATTTCCGTTTAACTTTTTTGTTTTTTCGGTACACATGATAAACATATAAATGATTTGTCTTATTTAAAAAAAAATTAGAAAAGAAAAAAAAAGATTTGTTGTTTAAAAGTATTTATAAAAAAAGAAAACATGGGTTTTAGAGGATATGATTTATTGTTAAAACACTTGATATATTTTCTTAAAAAAATGTTAAAAAGTTTGAGGGTGACTTTAAAAAATAGAAGAAATGGGTCATAAAACACATGCATTACCATAATTTGTCCCAATTTTGTTTCTTGAATTATTAAAAATTATGACTCCACACCACACCATCAAATTCCATTTCCTTCGACCCTGGATTTAAACCCTACACACGCTCTACCTTTGATTATGTCCCAACAATATCATATACATTTATTTATATATATATATATATATATATATATATATATATATATATATATATACACACACACAACATCAATAAATCCAATAGCTAGAGTTATATCATGATCAGAGCTTAACTAGATAATATTTGCATAAAGAAACAGTTAACTTCATCTCATAAAGATATCAAATCAAACTAAATAAAATGTTACTTTTTTGTATATAATTTGTTCAATTTATTTCCTTTTATTTCGTATATTGTCCAATTACAATTAATCAACTGGTAAGATTTAAGGGTCGTTTACTAAACACTTAACTGATAAGCGTTTACCGGTAAAATTCAATGCTATCATTTACTTATCGGGTAAGATTTTAGTTTACAAAAACGAAATTGTATGCAACAATTTTCCTGGTAAGTGTTTACCGTGGTAAGAGTCATCACCCTCACTTACCGGGTAAGACTTTTGTCCTTGCCTTGCTTTTACCGGGTAAGACTCTTCGTCCTTATCATATTCATCCGTTAAAGTCATGTGACTTGGTAAGATCTTACCCAAGTAAGCGTTTGGTAAACGACCCCTTAGATTAGTTTAACCAGATATAATTTGTTATGATCATTTTTTTTATTATTTTGTATATAATCGAAGTGGAATTATTGAGTTGATTAGGTTTTTGTTGATATAATCTAAAAATGGATTTATTAATATGAAGGATTGAGACATCATAATGAGTGAAGGTTTGATTTGTTTTTCTTTCATTCTTGTGATTGAGAAAAACAAACTTTGAGTGAGAATTAAGGTTTGTCATAAACCCCACATGACATGCAACCTACTTCAATTATTTCTTCCCAAATCCTTTCATTTTATTTTTTTAATTTATTTTTCTCGATTTTTGTTTATTTTTTTTATATAAAATAAGATGAGGTTTTTTAATATATATATATAGAGTTGAATCCTAAATTATTTTGACGACCTATGACTTTTTTTTTTCTTTCTAAACGTAAGTGTTTAAGTCATTTTGTATGTATCTCAACTAAACTCCTAAGATCCTGAACTTAATAGGCAGGAGCCGGAACACCTCCAATGGCCCTAAGACTTGTGACTCGAACTGATAACTAACGGAGAGCAAACTCAAAACTTAATCTACAGAGTAAACGTCCACTTGACAACCTATGACTAGTGCACCTAATGAAACAAACCTTTGTCATATTTTTCTTGATTCTAAAATATAAATATATGGTACATACGATACTAATAATAATACTATAAAATTTTCATTTTTTTTATATCATACGATGTGATATTATGACATGATATAGAACAAATCTCTTAAATGAAAAAGAATAAGATGATAAGTCTAATGATTATGAATATTTATTGACATCGGTCCAGGAACAAAGACATGCCTTTTCCAATATTTTTTCTTAATAAACGAGGTTCAAAGTTTTTTTTTTATTATTAACCTGGATATCCAACCAGCTATGCGGGCCAACTAATTCCAGGACGACCACCTGCTTTGCAGATAGCCCAGAGTCACCGCATTTGAACCTCCGTGGCCACAAGAGGTTTTTTTTATTTCTCCTTGTATTTAAACCTGAAACCGTCTGGTACTTTTGACCTTTGGAGTCAAACTCAAATTAATCAAACACCACTCTTGTGATTGGTTCAAAGTTTTAACATATACAAGATCATGAACTTTTGCCTTCAAAAAGATGAATCATATGCTTGATTGAGACTTAAATTCAAAAAACCGTACATCTATTAAAGCACCGATAGATACTAGACTATATATATGTATATATAAAGGAGCGATCAAATGAAAACCACTCTCATTTGTAAAAACCATACAAACCACCCTCATACATCGATTTCATTGTTTAATCTTATGAAATTTTCTCATGAAATTGTTTAATCTTGTGAAATTGTTTCATATAATACTTTTTTTGATGAATTTGTTTCATATAATATTTAATGAAATTTTAATAAAACTGTTTCATGTATTTCTCTAAAATTAAAATAATGAAAATGACAATATCCATGATTAACACCCTACACAATAAAAATGGTTAATCAACCTCTCATAATTACAAAAAAATGAACAAAATAAAAAATTATGATTGGTTGAATAAGGTTTTCACGGTTTTTACAAATTGAGTGGTTTTTATTTGAACGCTCCCATATATATATATATATATATATATATATATATATATATATATATATATATACCTAAAAGTCCATATCTTTCTTAGACTTTTGAATCATATTTGAGATCTAATTTTGGAAATTTAACATGGTCAATTATAGGTGAAAGAGGTTAATATTGACTTTAAAAAGGTGCTTTTACAATTATAATTCTATTCCAAGAGAATTCAATGAAATTGATATGATCCACATGTATCCATCACTCCTACATTGCCTACTAATTTCTATAAATCTACCTCAAAATAATTCTATTTTTTTTAAAAAAATCCAATTAATATTCTCATTTTAAATAATTAAATTGTTGTTTATCAAACACTTATTTGATAAATATTTATCAGGTTATTTAGATTATCAAATGAACATGATAAGAACCAAGAATTTTACAGGTAAATTGTTTCATACGATAACTTTTTGATGCACTAAAACCTTATTTAATAAAATAAGTTAGAATGTTAAATTTTACTAATAAATCTTTAAACTTTTTAAAAATAATTCAAATAAGTAAATTAAGAAAATAACCAAAAAGAATCCAACTCAAATAAAAATTCATTTCCTATTTATAGATTTGCCTTTAAAAAAAAATATTCTCAATTTAATTAACAATTAAAAAAATTAGAATTATAAGCATGTGTTTTTATTATTTAATTCATAAAAAATAAATTTTATTTCAACGTGAAAAATAAATCCTTCTATTCTCATTACTTTCGGCCTTTATGGACTTCCAAAATTACCAGTGAGAACCCGGACCGCCCGGACCCGCCCCACCCCACCCCGCGTGCTTCTTTTTTCAACAAACCGGTCAAATTAAAAGCTACCCGTACCGCAAATCACGCCTGCCCCAGTTTTAATACGCTGTTATCGGTTTAAAGAGAATGCTGCATATATTTTTATGTAACGGGTCGAAATATAACGGAAAATCACACGTATTATTCTTCGAAACATAAGCTCACTCAAATCTCCGTTTTTCCGAAGATACATAAATTAAAAGGGAAAAAGAAGTCCTAAGTGATATATAGTTACCATAACGACTATTGTCGTTTTACAAAACTGTCATCGGGGCAAAATTTGTTACGTGATATTTAGTCACCTAACCGGATGATACGGGTTTTAGAAACACCCGGTCATCAAAACATCGGCTGGAAGAAAGTCGCCGGTGATGTCTTGAAAGTAATCGTCGACTTTTAGTATCGATGATGATGTGACATCAAGCATCATGTCATTACAGATTCCAAAGTCTTCGTCCCATAACGTGTTGTTATTAGCATCCGTACACCAAATTTGGGGGTCATCGAAGGGTATTGTGGCGAAGTTATCGTCCGTAACGTATTCGGATGACGGGGCTTCGTTTTCAATTTGGAGTGGGTCGGGTAAGTCGAAGTCATCGATGGGGGAGTATTTTAGGAATGGTGAGTCATCCTCGAAATCGACCGGGTTGGGCATTTGGAAATCAAATAGATTATCCAAGAATGGTACATCCATCTCTAATTGATCACTTATGATATCACCAAAATGGCCCGAATCGGATTCTTGATGTTGACTCGGACTGAGTTCACGAACCGTTTGACACTCTGATCTCTCTTGACCCGACCCGTTATCCGATTGACACTCCTCAGCTTCCTTAACCGGTTCGAGTCCTTCTTTCGAGTTGCTCTCGCTCTCGAACCGTAAGACGGAAGTCGGAGATGGAAGGTTGTTTGACTCGTCGCCGGACTCGTAACCGGAAGTGGACGGAACATTGATTTCCGGCGTAGTTTCCTTCGCCGGCGGTGTGACGAAGTTGGTCAAAGCGTCGGGACCACGTAGTTTGATAGCGGCGTTGTCGTACACCATGGCAGCTTCTTCTGCCGTATCGTAGGTTCCCAACCACAGCCGTACACGTCTAGCTGGGTCCCGTATTTCAGCTGCCCATTTGCCCCACGGCCTTTGTCGTACTCCTCGGAACTTCCGAACACTACCCGCCGGAACCGCCGGAGCTCCGGTGGTCTTCATTGACTTCTGTTTTGCCTGGAGTGCAGCCTCACCGGTTTTCATTCCCTTTTTCCGACCACCCACCGCTGCCACGGCGGTTTTACACGAGGTTTGGATGTTAACCTCATTAACAAAGTTCTTAACTCGCCGGCGTCCGAATAACTCGTCTTCATCGTCACTGGATGAGTCGGTGGCATCAGGATCAGTCATTGATATCCGTACAACTTTCGGGAACGACGACTTTTGGCGATCAGAAGGCTTCTTAGACTTTGCCGCCATTGATGGATTCACAGCCACCATTGTTGTGACCTTTTTGTGCTGGGTGTATTTGATCGGACGCAACATATCGTAGCTATCCATCTCAAATACAACTTAACTCAAATCGCATCCAAAAGAAACCCCAGAAAGATTTTCACAAAGAAACGACTGAAAGTTGGGATCTTTAGTCAGAAAGAAGCTTCACCCAGAATCAAAAATCGAATCAAAATCTAACAGAAATTCTTTAAAAAGAAGAGCCGTAAAGAAAAAGCTGATTCAAATGGGTAAAAGCTAGAGAGGGCTTTTATGAAAAAGAAGAAGATGATGAAAACAGACAGTGACGAGGGGTTTATGAAGTTTGAAGTTGAATCAATGGCGAATGTGGAGTTTGGTGTTTATAAGAAGTGAGAGAGAATATGAAGAGAAAGACCAAAAGAATTTGGAAGTTGAAGTGACGATGAAGGAGAAAATTAGAGTTTTATAGGATCCGACTCTCACCAGACCCAATTGGGGAACACAATAATTTTAATAATATAAATATTTTTTAAATATATTTTCCATAAATAAAAATAAAAATAAAAATAAAACAATATATCTTAAAAGTGGTAATGTTAATAATAAGTAAAAAGTAATCGCCGGTGGTCGGAGATTAAAGATTCCGACGACAGACGGGTAAAGAACAGGTCTCGCGGCATCTCGATAGAAATGAAGGATGGTGACACGTAAGTAAGTGTGAGAGACAATGGTCCAATGAGTGAACTCGAAGCAATGCTGACTCAGCACATGGTTTACCTCGTATAGTGTGAAGGCTGTCACGTGACACCCAAGATGCTCGGCTCCGTTAAAAATCATGTCGGTCAAATTAAACCAAATTATCACCACCTCAACCTCCTTTGACCAGTTTAATCTTCCTTTTTAACTCCTCATTTAATTTTATTATTATTTTTTATTATTATTATATATAGCCTCGTGGTAACTTTATTTTACATTTTCATTTATTATTAAATTAAATATTATATTATATAATTATATATGTATTGTTGGTGTGTATAAAACATATAAACAAAACGATTTATAGTTGAATCCAAAATTGAGGTAGAACTTGTACAACTTTTTACAGCGACGACTAACGTGGGTAACCTCGTATCTGGGGCCACGTATATATATATATAATTCCACCATGTACGTCTCTGGGTTTGGCTCTGTTTCTTTAATTACTTTTCTCGAGATGGGATTTTTAGATTTTACCCACCAATACTTGCTGTTTTTTAATCCCTATGACTCAGTAAATACCAAAACTTACATATAATATTTTAATTATGTCTTGTATTTTTGTCACTTTATTTATATGCAATATATATATATATATATATATATTGAAAGATGGGAAAGATATTTTGTAAATCTAATTAGTATATTATAAAAATATGATAGTCTATTTATTATAATTTAGATATTTATGAAATACTGTACAAGTTTATTTATTTATAATCAATGTTTTATATTAGAAAACAATTGATATTTTTATAAAATCAAGTATTTATTAGACTTTATGATCAGTTGAGATTGGTTTGTACTAATAATCATGTTCTTTAAATTATTTTAAATTTATAATTTGGACCAACTGTTGATTGCTGGCAATCCTAATCGGCATTACATGGAACCTGTCACTAAAGAGATCAATATGAGGGTGTATTTCCTGGCTCATTGAGCGGCTAAGACAAGCTAGCCAAGGGGAGAGGGAGGACGAGATCGAAACCAGACTTATCCTGTATTTGGGAGAAGTCACCCGATCTCTTCCTCAACTCAGATACACGATAAAGTTTATATTAAACTCATTAATCATTTCACAACGAATTAAAAGGGTATTTTTGGAGTTTGAGTTTATCATTAAAATACTTTTTAATATTTAAGTTAAAAGTTTAATTCATTTTTGGAAAAGATAAGTACAAAAACAAGGTTATTCAGAAGCATTGTAAAATTTACACATTCCCATATGTCGTTATATAACTAATTAAGAATATTGTTCATATATATATATATATATATATATATACATATACATAAAGTTGTAAAGTAAATTTTCTATAAAGAAGAAAATGCTTTTAATTTACTTTCTTTACCAAGTATTCCCATAACATATCGGCTTTCTATAAAAAGGGGATACTCCTCATAAAACAAGTTTTATTTGTAAAAAGCCATAAAAAAACAATATATATATATATATATATATATATATAGTTAGGTTCCATGTTAAGAAGTATTTAATTTTTGCATAACATAACGTATTATACTACACACTCTATATTTGTATATTTGTTTTTCAGTATGGTTTATTCCCATAACGTTAAGCTACATGTTAAACATCATAAACTAATCAAACCGAATTGAATAATATCTTACAGTTAAACAGAATTTGTACTCTTGTTGTCAACTCAATATACATTTGAAAAGCCCATAAATACTCATTGTACAAGGCATGTCCGTGCTTATGACAAACATGTCATCATTAAAATAAATTTCTTCTTACCATTTTCACCGTAACTTTCATTTTTACCGGAAACCAACTCTGAGTGTGTGTGTGTATATATATATATATATATATATATATATATATATATAACTTAGGTAGTCAAATACTTGGTGGTTGGAGAAGTGAAATAAAATAAACTTAAAAAGACATTCTTGAAAACAATATAACGAACAAAAATTGCCGCCTAATGCATAATTTGCATCCTCAAATTCGTATATATCTTTTTCTCTTATGACCTTGTTTTTGTTTTATAAGAACCATAACGGCAATAGGCAGTTCATGCTAAGTCTATGTGGCGTGAAATGATTGGATAACAGGTGTACACGTCATTTTATAAGTAGGAAGGTGTCAAAGAAGAAAGAATAATTGGAGTAGCCGTTTGGGTTTTGGTTTGCTTATCATCTGTTTGTGTGTGTGTGTGTGTGTATATATATATATATAGTTTAAAGCCGTTCATATTATTAATTAAAGAGACAATAAGTTCTGTTTGGTAGCCAAAGGCTTGTACCTTTGTCTTTGCATGCTTCTACGTAAAACTAGCTACATCCTTTTCACAACCACCGTTTAAATCTTCACGTACGTACCATATTCACATGCACTTTTCTTGTCTCTTTTTCTAGTTTTTTCTGTTTTTCGTACATTTAGTGCATAACTAATGAAAGCGATAGCCATTTCTGCATCTAATATATACATATTTGTACATATGTATATCACAATTCACATGTGAATAGGCTCAAAGAATTTCATTTAGCTCAGCTTTGAACCAATTTAACTGAGTTTAGACGTTGGTTGGCTGTAAGACTAGGGTGCATAAGCATTATCAGTCCATGGTCAATCTATGATGGCTCAGTGATGACAGCATAGGAATCATATCGTGCAGTACAATTCCCAAACATAAAAATTCAAAAAGAAAAACAAGTGAATATCCCAAAAAATTCATAATGAATAAGTATGTGTGTGGATTGTGGAAGTGAAAATTAATGCAAGTTGTATTAAGTCTTGAATTGATTCTTGGAATTTGTGGCCATTGCCATTGAGCCAAGTGAAGCCTTGGCCAAAACAGTTTAAATATAAAAGACAAGTAATATCAGGTACATGGAGCTCGACAAAACAATCTTAAATTATTATGATGAGTCTTTGAAGTAGCGTTGAAAAATCAAGATTTTGTATGTATTTTGGGTTATATATGTATTTGATGCTTTTGCAATAGAAAAAGTCAAAATTATAAGTCACAAAGTCCAAGATTATATATATATATATATATATATATGTATATGTATATGCATGATATTTGTAAAGTGCATTAATTAGTTCTTCATCAAACCCTAGATTATGGTTCTGAGTTCTCCCTTGATTCCAGCCTTCACCACCTCTATGCTCCTCTCGACTCTCCACTTTTCAACACATATTGCTTTACTACTTATAAACAGCTACCTGCATGCATACAAAAGCTGTACGTTGTGCTTGTAAATCTGGACTTTTGCTAATGACAAAAATATCCCTATTGGTTGCTAGCTATCTACCATACCTCTCAACCAAAGATTTGTCCACATATCTCTGGCCACCGATGAAGAGTGTATGCATGAATTCGTCCATTATATACAGAAATTAATTAATTTTTTTTTTTTTATTGGGTGTTTTTACCTTTTAGCTAATTTTTTACAAGGTTTAACAAAATTGCATTAGATTTAGAATTTTAACTTTTTTCTTGTGGACTAGGGTGAAAAATATTAAAAAAAAATGTGAGAAGTATAAAGTTTTTTCTAGACCTGGGTGAAAAATGTAATTTTTTTTACGGACATGGTTAAAAAGTGTAAACTTGGAGAGAAAATTGTCTAGATAGTGAAATCAACCCTGAAAAATGATTATTTTAATAAATTTCCCCATTATAGATCATATATATATATATATATATATGTATGTGTATATGTGTGTATGTCATGGATTTAACATTAAATACATATGGATTGGTTTCCGTTGAGAAGTAGAGTTAAGTTAAGAAACGTAATGAGGGATTTTCATACTTTGATGCCCATTAGAATGCAATGCATCAAGATATAGTGGATCAATCTCCATATCAATCGTGATTAATGAGTGAGTTTGAGATTTAATAATTAAAGGTCCAGAACCCTTCTCAGACGATCCTACACTAAATAAATATCATGGCCATATATATTTTGGGTCATAATATTCTTATGCATTCATCTTTGTTCGGTTCATTTTGCTAATATTAAGAGGTTTGTATTGAAAGAAATATACATGTATACATATATAAGCTTATGAATATGAAGTCAAATTCAAATAAAAACAATGACCAAATAAAAAAAAAAATAAGAATGGTCAAATAAAATATAATTATATACTAAAATCACGTGCAAAATCACATTTTATTTCCACGACCTAAGTTATGGGCCAAATCACCCGCACACCTATATTAATTATGTTCCGTAATCGTCCGTGATTTGAGTATTTTCGTGTTCTCTTGTTTTGATGATGCATGTTATTATTTGATGTTTCTTCTACTAATAGGGGTCTATTTTTATTTATATATTGATATTTTATAAAAAAT